GCATTCTCCCTCCGCTCCCCTGTACTCTCCCCTCCCCGTCAGCATTTTGAAGAACACCAGGGCTCCCTCAAGTGTGATAAGAAACAGGGCCTGGTCCAGGCCACCCAGGGAGCTGGCAGAAGCCACCCCAGCTGGGGACTGTCAGGGCAGCCATTTTCCGAGGGCAGGGACCTCCCCTCCAGGCTCAGGGGAGTCCGGGGGACCTGGGGTGGGGGTGGGGGCGTGTGAGAGAGTCCACAGGAGAGCCTGTTCCGAACCCGGAATGGCTACCATCCAGGGATGACCGCAGGGCTGGCCCCGGGTGCCTGTGCCAGGCAGAGCAAGAAGAGCCTCACGTGGAGACGCTCGTTTGATCTCCACCAACCCCACTCACAGGGAGGCAGCTGAGGCGCAGGAGCTGAGGCACCTGCCCGAGTCTCGGAGGAGCCGTGGGGGCCCCAGTGCTGCCCACTGAGCGCAGGGTGGACGCCCCCTGAGGGAAGGGTGGACGCCCCCTGAGGGCAGGGTGGATGCCCACTGGGTACTGGGTGGACGCACACTTAGCGCAGGGGTGATGCCCACTGAGCACAGGGTGGACGCCCCCTGAGGGCAGAGTGGACATCCACTGAGGGCAGGGTGGACGCCCACTGAGGGCAGGGTGGATGCCCACTGGGTACTGGGTAGATACCTACTGGATACTGGGTGGACGCACACTGAGTGCAGGGTGGACGCCCCCTGAGGGCAGGGTGGATGCCCACTGAGGGTAGGGTGGACGCCCACTGGGTACTGGGTGGACGCCCACTGAGTACTGGGTAGATGCCTACTGGGTACTGGGTGGACGCACACTGAGCGCAGGGTGGATGCCCACTGGGCGCAGGGGTGATGCCCACTGAGGGCAGGGTGGACGCCCACTGGGTACTGGGTGGACACCCACTAAGGGCAGGGTGGACGCCCACTGGGTACTGGGTAGATGCCTACTGGGTACTGGGTAGACGCCCACTGGGTACTGGGTAGATGCCTACTGGGTACTGGGTGGACGCACACAGAGCGCAGGGTGGATGCCCACTGGGCACAGGGGTGATGCCCACTGAGGGCAGGGTGATGCCCACTGGGTTCAGGGTGGACGCCCACTGGGTACTGGGTGGACGCCCACAGAGGGCAGGGTGACGCCCACCGAGCGCGGCTCCTCCTGTGCCCCAGGCTTTTCTGGAGCTGCAGAAATCGTCTCTTATAGAGTGATGATTCTGTAGAAGCCCCCCCCACGCCCTGCCCTGAGAGCAGGCCTAGAACGTTCCTTCCTGCCCCGCAAGGGCTCTTCGGCCACACACAGGGTCACCCTTACAAAGAGGCAGTGCTCCCTGTTCCCCTGAGCTGGCTCCGCAGTCGTGCGCTGGGGGGAGGCTGGGAGGGACCAGGAGCTGAGGGCAGCCAACCCCAGCCATGCACCCGCCCTGCCCAGCCAGCCTGGCCGTGCCCAGGCTACGCCTCCCTTTCCATCAAGCACTGGAGCCACAACCCCTTCTCGGAGACCACCCCATGCTGCAGCCCCCACCAAGTCCTATGAAAGCACCGCCCAGCCCGGGTGGGGGCAGTTTGCTCCCCTGAGGTTGCCCACACTCCCGCCTGAGTGCGCACCGTCCTTTCGTCTCAATCTCTGTGCTCTTGTGCGGTTGTAGTCTTACACTTGGGAAGACGGGAAAGGGACTGGACCCAGCCCCCCTGGGGGTCTGTCCCAGCCCAGCCAGGACTCTCCACCCCCACAGCATAAGTTAGGGGTCCCCACCATCCTTGCTTTGCATCTCAGGACTCTGGGGTTCACCGAGGTTATGCACTTGTCCTAAGGCCACATGGCTGCTGGCCTTGCACTCTGGGCATCACTTCTGCTGGGGGGAGGGCTGGCCTGGTCCCTGCGGGAACCCTGACCAGGAGGTCCGACCCGGCCCCTCCCGAGGGCGAATTCCAGCCGGGAGTCCTGATGAGTGGGAACTCCGATTGCAGTTTAATTGGGGTTGTGTCCTTGAAGAGGCTCCCAGGTCTCAGGGTTCCCAACGACAGCGCCAGACAGACCCGCCTCGCTGGGTTCTTCTCACCCAGGGCCCCTGCAGCTCTGCAAGCCGGGGGGCTCCGGCCTCTGAGGTGGGTCCGTGGGCGTGGGAGCAGCAGGGCGGAGTCTGCCCCCCAGGGCCTGTGCTCAGAGGAGCCCCCCAGCTCCATATTCTGTGCCGCATTGCGGAATTCTTCAGTCTGAAAACCACTGTTCACTCTCTGTATGGAAGTTGACAGCTGAGAGCCCCAGGCCGGCAGATGGGGGCAGTTGCTTTCCACTGCTTTACTCCCCGGACGGAGGCAAAGTGGCCAGGGCCGAGGCAGGGCTGGAGCGAGGAGCCAGGACTGCAGTCCAGGTCTGCATGTGAGTGGCCGGAACCCCACTGCGCGAGCCACCGCCACCGCCTCCCAGGGCCTGCCCTGGTGGGAAGCGGGAGTTGGGGCCGAGCTGGGAAGCAAAGCCAGGCGCTCTGCTAGGGGACGCGGCAGCCCTACCCGCGAGGCCAATGCCGGTTCCCTGAACAGTGTTTAAGCGAGGGGCACAGACCCCTTGTTCTGTACTGGGACTCAGAAAGAGTGGAGTGGAGCGAGCCTCGCCACCGGGTCCTCACTGTGCACCCCCACCAGCAAGTATCTTCAGCTCCTGACCCTCGGTTTTCTCATCTGTAAAATGGATCCATGCTGCCTCCACCTGGCAGGGCCCGGGTGGTGGTGGCGGTGGGGGTAGGGGCGGCTTTCCGGGAACTAAGTGGGAGATTGTTCCAGGTGAAGGGCCAGGCGGTGGTGAGTCCCGGGAACCCTGAGTCCCTCTGCAGAGGCCTTACCTGGAGGCACAGCCCCTGAGCGGCTGCAGGCCCTTCACAGCCAGCCTGCCTGCCCTCCAGTCACTTTATGGACTGCCTGGCAAAAATAAAACCCTCACTGGGGAGCAAACCGCACCCCCCGCACCCAGCCCTCCCGCCTGTGGCGCTCTGAGGTCAAGTGGCTTAGGCCGTGACATTCAGGGATCTCTGAGCCTGGGAAAAGCAGGAGGTTGGCAAGCCTGCGCCAGCTCTGTGGTGGGCCAGCGCCCTGCCGACGCCCCAGGGCTGGTGCCGCCTCCTGGGGCTGGGCAGCACCGCGTGTAGCGCTCACGTCTGCCAGTTTCCACGTGCCGGCAGCTCAACTCCCCGGGGGGCACCGACCTTGACTTGCTGGCTCCAGAGCAGGCAGCCCTCCTCGGCAAGCCTCAGTGTCCCCACCTGAGAAATAACTCAGTGCCCAGCCCTGTTAACCCCTGCGTGGAAAGAGCAGCATGACCGTCAGCCCCTCCCCCTGCTGCTCCGCCTGCGCCAGGGCAGGTGCATTCGAGGCCGGCCTGGCCCTGGCACCCCTGCGGGTGAAACCAACTCCGCACTCTGCCGGCCGGAGCCTCCTGCGGGGACCCCTATGCTCGTACTCACGGCATTGCTCGTTCCCTGGGCTGGCTGAGGGCGTCCAGGCCCTCGGGACCGGCCTGTCAGTCAAGCCACAGGGAAGGCACACAGCAGGTGCAGCCATGCAGGCATCCTCTGCGGGCTCTTGAGATCAGAGAAGACAACGGAGAGTTCCTGGGTCCCGTGTCTGCCCCGGGCCTGGGCTTAGCTTTCCTCCCTATTCTCTGCCCTCCCTCTCCCTCCCGCCTTCCATCAGGCCCCTTTGCCAACTGGGGCACTTCCTGTTGCTGGCCTGCGTGCTCTGCCTCCTACCCACAGAGGCCTCATCCCAGCCTCTCCCTCCCTGGCCTCGCCTTCTGCGACTGAGGCCATCATCATGGCCACCGGGGTGGTTCTGGGCCTCTGAGCCTTTGCCCTGCTGTTCCTTGTGCCAGAATACCCTTCCCACCAGACGTCTGATGGCCCCCAGGGTGGAGGTGACCCCTCCCCAGGGTAGCCCCTGGCTCTTCGTCCTCTGCACCCACACTCGCTTTGCATAGATTCTGTCCCTCTGCTGTCTGATCCCAAGGCCAGTGCCAAGCCTGTTCAGGGTACACTCAGGAGCTGGGGGACAGGCCCAGAGCCGCGGGGAGATGGCTCCCTTGCACCTGCTCAGGGTCTCCATCCGTTTTCTGTTGCGAAACAAAGAACCTGAGAAAATGCACTTTTTGTAAAGAGATGGACTTGGCTCATGATCCTGGTGATTGAAGGGTCTAAACAGTGTGGCACCGGTGTCCAGAGCTGGTCCCTGGCTGTGTCACAGCACGGAAGGGGATGGAGAGGGGCCTGGCCTCTGGCAGGAGGGGCGAATGCACAGGGTGGCCTCGCCATGACCAGCTGCCCTCGTGAGAAGTGACTCGGTCCTCCCAGAGCAACCGCGGTCCCTCCGAGGGCAGCCCCTGTGACCCAATGCCCTGGTGCGAGGAGGACATGAGCCCTTGGGGACCCACTCCGACCCCAGCACCAGGGCCGGTGCCGGGCAGTGAGCCCTGAGGACTGGGCTGTTGGGGGAGGGTGGTCCAGACTCACAGAACCCCAGCTCTCTGGCCCTGCCCAGCCTCGGCCAAGAACCAGACCAGCCTTGGAGATTGAAGTCACCGAGCCCCAGCCCCAGCCACAGGCCTGGCCCCACCGTCACCCCGGCCCGGGTTTCTGCTGTTGCTGCCCCAGTCCTCGCCCTGTCCTAGCTTCTCCCCCACTCCTGGTCCTGCCCGGCCCCAGCCCTCGTCCAGGGTTCAATCCCCATTCCAGCTCCCACCCCAGGTTCCTGCCTCTGTCTGTGCCTCACTGTGGGCTGACCCCCTGCCTCCTGCCGACTGCAGATGACCGGTTTTGAAAGAAAGGGCACTGCGAACCCAGCCTCCCCTGGTGACCCGGCCCCTTCTCCCCGTGTCGGGAAATGAACAGGAGATTGGGGAGATGGGTCACAGGTGCACCGAGGATCTAGTCCTCCAACCACCGGGGGTCCTGTGTGGAGGTCCCAGGATGAGGACAGAAGGCAGCATTGTGATGTCACTGCCTGGCCTTGGCATGGTGCTCCTGGAGCCGCAGGTGAGTCGCGTGGTCCCCTCCCCTGGTGGCCTTCATGCGTCCATGTTTGGTGCTCGGACTGGAAAGACTGAGCACACAGCCCGCGCCTCCTCTCTGCCATGCCCTACGTGCTGGGCTGGCCCCGCAGCCGGCCAAGGAAGGCTGCACTGGCGTAACCAGAGCCGGCCCTGGGCGAGCGGGCTGAGAACTGTTTGCAAGGCTGTGTTGAAGCTGCCTGCTCACGGGACCACCCTCCAGGCTTGACCTTGAACTTGTTCTAAGGGTCTCTGTTGCATACTCTGCACCTGCGCCCTCAGCCCAGAGGACGCGATGCTGGATCAATGAGTGCATGCGTGGGTGGATGGGCAGGTGGGCAGAGAGAGAGAGAGAGAGAGATGAGAACAGGAGCTCTTTCCAGTGTGGGCTGGGCTCTGAGTGAGCCCCAGCTCTGACCTATGACCCCTGGCTCTTACCTATGATCCCCGGCTCTGACCTGTGACCCCTTCCCGGTATCCCTGGTGGAAGGCCCCCTGCATCCTGGTGCCCAGGATGAGACTTGGTGGTGACCAGGCCACACCAGTGACGGGACAGCAAGGGCACTGAGGCCACTACGGAACAGCATATGGGGTTCCCTGAGAATTAGGGGTGCCGCGCACAGACCCCAGACTTTGGATTTCATGAGCCCCAAGTTCAAACCCAGTCCTGCTGTTTGACCTTGAGCTGGCCACAGCCCGCTCTGAGCCTCTGTCTCTCTGTGCAGTGGGAATCAGAGCCCCAAAGTTGGAGGTCTTCCCCAGCACCCCAGAGGAGGTGGCACCCCAAATGCTGTGGC